GCCGAAATTAATCCGCGACCTGATACCGCGACTGCACACTGCCCGATCGATCACAATCCAATCGTGCCGTCGGACCTCGAAGCCAAGTCGAAATTTTGATTCTACCCCGCAAACCTTGTCAAACCTAGAGAGCCTCGGAGAAAAAACTAGGGATATAACACATGCCATACTGAGAAAAACATCAGTAACTATAATCATACATAAAGAAACAATTACCCGCATAGAAATTTCTTAATATTTTTCCCTAAGTGCAGGTTAGAATCAGAGTGCCCAACTTTGTCCCAAAATATATTATCCCACTACGATACCCCAATTGGGAATTCCATTCTTGTCCAAACATGGGTTCTCTATCTAGAATCGAAACAGGAAATTAAAAAAACTCGAGATATTTAAAAACTTTTTTAATACCCCGCATAGAAAATACTTTAAGACTTGATTGGGACCCAGTCTGATTTTCCACGATAATCAAAGGTTCCAGATGGGAAATTTATGCAGACTCTGAGTAAAAGTGTAATGTTTTAAACATGTGAATCTAAGTGGAAAATCAAGATAAATTCCATTTGGTTATTTCAACGTTTTCCCAAAGATTTTTCGTGATTTACATTTTAAACTAAAATTCAGCAAGATATATGAAACACTTTGAGTATTTACTCGTTACAAGTATGTGTACATACGCATACTTGTAAATATTCAAAGTGTTTGCGAAGAAGATCATTGTGAAGAAATTATATATTGATGTTCAAGCTAGGAAAGTCAAAAATATATATTAATACCCAACAAATTCTTCCGACTTATAAATGTATGAAATCGTCAAATTATTCTCAGATATACAAATGTATATTTATATTACATATAAAAAATAAATATATTATTTTACGCTTTAACATGGAATAATGTAAGTCAGAAAAAAATATTTGTCTTTATTGTATTAATGAAACTAATGCAGAAAATATTTCAAAGAGCTCGAGTTTTCTTAATACTTTTGTCCCGATTCTAGACAGAGAACCCATGTTTGGAACAAGAATGGGATAATCTATTTTAGGACAAAGTTGGGCATTCTAACTGGAATCTGACTTGCGCTTAGGAAAATACTAAGAAATTTCTATGTGGGACTTCGGGTGTTTCATATACTTTACTCTATTTTAGTTTAAAATATAAACCAGGAAAAATCTTTGGAGAAACGTTGGGAATGACTAAGTGGAATTTGTCTAGGTTTCTCATTTAGATTCGCATGTTTAAAACACTACATTTCTAACCAGAACCTGCATAAATTTATCCCATCTAGAACCTGTGATTAATCGAACTGAATTACAATTAGGTCTCAAAATATTTTCTATACTGGAAGTTATGGCAGAGAAAATCTTTTTGTATAAAATTCTACTAGTGTTAGTGATAATAACCTCATACGCATATTATTACTGCGATTTTCGTGTTAGAATTGACCGTATTCGTAAAGTTGCTGCAGAATGAAAACTTCAAGTCGGTAAAGTAGCTGCGGCAAACTCGAACACGCTCCGCTGGGGAGAGACCTCATTCGTCATCGTCGATGTCAATGCACTCCCGTCATGCTTTCGTGACACAAATGGAGCGTTACGTTGATTTTCTTCCAGCTACTAGAATAGCCTCTCCCACGGTTGCGTTCATATCAACGTCAAGAGGGAGAAGCCGACTTTTCGAGCAGAAAGCGAACTTGACGTGGCACGGTCAGGACGCGAAGCACCCGTCAATGACTCGTACATTTTATAAAGAGAAGGAAACAAGAAAACAAACACACAGATCAGTGTTGAATCGAATGCACGCTCGTTTCCACCCTCGACTCGGAAAATCCGCGAAATATCCGTCAATCGCCGCTCGTAGAACTCCCGCGCAAAGTAAACTCGTCTCGTCTAGATTTTTGAGCTGAATTCGTTATTGCAATCTCGTTAAAGACGATCCGTGCGATCTGATTAGGTAGTAGCCTCCGGGGGCAGCCGGGGCTATAGACGTTCCAGCGATTGCAAGGAAAGAGAAGGAGGGCTTGGGACCCTCTCGATTCGGTAAACGAGACGTAGGGCAATATTGGACGACTACGCCGAGGTTGATTGACAATATCACGCGCCGATGCCTTTCCCTTGCCCTTACATTTCAGGTGTACCTTTCAGTGCAAGGGGAGACGCCTTGAAACTCCTCCATTTTGTATCCATGCGATACAAAATTACCATCTGATCGCGTCAGGCTCTTTCCTTATCGTTATCTTCCAAAGATTCTTATTCATCTAAATAATTATTCCTTTCAATGTACACAGCTCCAATGCCTTTGGACTTGACATAAGTCATGATGTTGTCGAGAACATCCTCTTGATTAACCTCCAGAAGGGTTAGGTATCTCTAGATCTTTGTTTATGAAAAAATTATCAACAGAGGCGGTTTTATCAGCAACTCGGCGAGTTGAAATGATAATCACCTCTTAGCACGGAGAACTGAGGTGTTAATTCCATCTTAGTTCTCGCGAAGCTGAGATATTGTCGTTTCAGGCCGGAGAGCTAAAATGATAATTCCTCATTTTAGCTCAGAGAGCTGAGATGATAATTTATAACGGCTTCTCGTCCCGCGTAGATCGGTTCATCAGTGCCAGAGTCTGGAATGAGGGATCGTGAGCGTATGTGTGTCGAGACGAAGAATTGAAAGCCACATGTGTGCGAACGATACTTTACTGCAGTATGTCTCGTATAGAAATGTCCCATAATTCTCCCACATACAGCGCACATGTTGGAAACATTATATTTTTAACTAGAACCGATAATTATTTTGAGAAATTGGGGCTTGATTCCATTTAGATTTTGAAAAATTTTCTATGCGGGACACGGAGCCTCTTCGGGTCGAGACGAGTATTGCTCTGGGTAGGTCACAGTGATGTTGCACCTTTATAGTACAGCAGACGGCGCGAAAGCATGAGTCGCGATCTATCAGCCGCTTACACAACGTGATCGGCAGATAACAGGGCCGTGCCCAGCTGAGAGACTGTCGGCATTCAGAGGGCACCGTGAGTGCACAGTCAAGGCGTAAGCCAATTCAGGAATGGACAATTAAATGTTTATAAATGTTTAAACATATTTGGCAGCTGTAGTAATCATTCTTATGGCAATGTAATGATGTAGCAATAATTGAAATCATGTACTTTTTGAGCCAAGATGAAATGATTATTCTCTGTTGTCCGCCATTAAAGGTTTCCTTTTATTTGTTTCTTCTTTATTTTGCTCTATCGATCTTTATCGCTCTCTGTAGAAGATTTTTACATGAGAAAAACAATTTGGCTGGGTCACACATAAATTTGGTAGTGCTAACCAAATTCAATATTGAATCTACACAGATTTATATATAAGCTAAACATACTGTTTTTCCCGTTTATATATTTGTTTTTCTCTACCTCATTCTCTCTCTTTCTCTTTCTCTCTCTCTCTCTCTCTGTTATTTTCTCAGTTTTCTCCATTGAAAATTCCCAATTAGAAATTTATCGTACGATCTTGATCAAATTGATCTTAGTTAGTTATCTGGTTTATATAAAATAATGGTATCAAGTCTTGATAAGTCGCCTGATTAAGTGTAGCAACGTTTTTCCTCACTGAATTTCGTGAAACGCATTCTGTATTTAAAAGGAGTATTTGTCTTCTAGTAATCCTCAAGATACGCCTTTTCCGTATTGGATATGAAGTACATTGCAAAATTCATCGAGGAAAATTTGCTGCATACTAAGTTATGCTTAGTCAGCTAACTGTACAACATAACATGGAAATCAGAATCTGCCTAGTAATTAGAATCCATGATAACGTCGCCTTATATACAAACCAGACTAATTGGAATCAACCTGATCGGGATCCAGTCGGGTTTCTCTCGTTGTCGTAGTCAGTCGAAGTCATCACAACATGTCCGTCCTAATAGGGTCGATAAACGAGATTCGACAAATTATTCTGACAAATGTTATCTGCCATTCAGTTTGGTCGATGTCAGTAACCGAGTTGTCACTAGTTTATATGCTGTGGCTATATCTCCGAGCTTTCTGCCTGAGCCTCCTCGCTTATTTCGGAGGATTGATTTGGCGCACGCGAGACGTCTCTCTCTCTCTCTCTCTCTCTTTCTCTCTTTCCCCCTCTCTATTTTCATCGTCTGCGGCCCCCGATGTCGTTGCTCGTTTCGCGTCGCGCTTATTATTCTCCCCAAGGAGAGCTTGATACCGTTGGTGCGACGAACAGCGCGCGGGATAACACTATATGAGCTTCCGTCGCTTTCCACGCGTCCTCGATCCACCGCCAGTCGCTATTATTGGCCAGATAGGCCTCGGTTGCGCGTCACGCTCGCCCTCGCCGGTAGCTTGTCACCCGCTTGCCGAAACCACCCCGCTGCGACGGGTCGGACAACGAGCCACGCGGGGGTGCGGGAGAGGTTGTCGCGCCGCCGTGTAAAACTCGCGGCCGATGACGTCGCTATCGATCAAGCGCCTTCTCGAGGGTACGATTCCTCCGTCTCTTCCCGTTTTCCCGTCCTCCGTCGCGCCGACGAGAGGAGAAGAGAGTAGACACCCCGGCACCCCGGCTGGTCGCGCCGCAGGGGGAAAGTCGTTAGGAGTAAACTCTCGTTTTTCATTTTTGTTTAGTCGCTTCGTCGCGCTGTCCGTCGCGACGTCGATTTTAGCGCTGTCAGAATAAACTGGATATTTTTGTACTCCGCTACACGGAGTCAGGGATGTGTTTCTTTTTAATGGGACCATATGCTCCTTTTTTCATTCTTATACTCGTACGCATCGATTTTCGATTTGTTAGTTTCACCAACGCTAACTTCGTTCGTAGTTTTTATGTTTCCTCACATCTTATTATCGCTCTTTATCCATTCTTCGCAGTTGACCAATTAGCGTTGTCACGATTAACGTTATCCAGAACCAAAGCATTTGTTTAACGCAATTGTATTTTCCTTTATGTAAATATGTGTTTTGTGATAAAGAAGCTATTGTGTAATCTTCCGCGTTACCTTAACATTGTAGACCCAGAGCGGCGTTTCCGTGCCGGCGGAGAAGCCCAACTCGCCCCCGAAAACGTAGAGACAATCCTTGTAGGCTACCGCGCTGTGTTCCTGAAGCGCCGGCGGTCTCTCACCCTCCGGATGCAGTTCCTCCCATTTGCTCTCCGCTGAAAGTAAAACAAAGGGAGGGTTGGCTCGTCACGGCGTCAGGTGAATGTAATCCGACGCTCTTATCTACCGGGCTGTAAGTGAGCGGTTATTACGGTGAGCGTAAGCGCGCACTTGTTCGAATACGAAACACACACACACACACACACACATGTATACGAACACAGAAAGAGAGGCAGAACGGCGATACGCGAATTTTTCTAATGCGTCCGCGTTGCATTTTAATGCAGCTCGGCTTCGGCGCCACGGCGACGTGCACACTACGTCCCAGTTCCCGGTCAAAGAACGTGAGACCACTTTTCAACATCTAAGAAGGACTCCGCGATATGCTTTTTGCACACTGTGCGGCTCGCAATTACGAATTCTCGCGTGTTGTAGCTCATAAATATCGCGTTCGGCCGAGTTTCCACATAATGATCGACGTGATTTGCGCGAGCATTCTTCGCTTGAAATTTATTTAGGTGAATTTCCATCGAGAGCTCGCCTAGAAAATTTTCTGGGATCTGATTGGGGTCCACCCCTATTCCCCGAAATAGTCAGAGATTCTTCTCGGCGTATTGCATCGAGCTTTTGCGCGACAATCGACGAAAGGTCTCTCGAATATCGTTCACTTGAGATTTGTCCAGGGGAATTCCAGAGAGGATTGACAAAACGGGAACGAACGAGGGAAGGGAGCGTGAAGGCAACAAAAATCTGAATCTCGCGGCTTCGTTGAATCGGTTATGATAAAAATTCACCCCGGAAGAATATTAAAAATCCGACTTCATCTTACGCGGCTCTTTAATAAAACAGACGTCCGGGCCGCCCTTCCGAACTATCGTGAAAAGGAAGTCGCGGAGGCGCGCGCGTTCTCTCCCTAACCGGAGAGTATAAAGGCGCGGAAGGAGAGTTCGGTGACTGGGAAGCGCATAAATTTGTGTCATATTGGGCGAGAGTAAATATTCCGCTCATGTATTAGCCGAGCGGGTAGCGGAGTGCTCCTAGAAATATATTGCCGCAGGCCAATTATTATTTCTTCCAATCCCTCTCCTTCCCTTCTATTCCTTTGGCTGTTTTTATCCACTGAATTGATTTTGCCTCTTCGCAATATATTTTCATTCAGGTCGCTAGCACGGAAAATATTTCCATCCTGTAAATGTAATCGAAAATTTCGCTACATTTTTTAACTTACACATCTTATATTTTATGGACTGTGAAAGGAAATGCATCTAACTGAAGAATCAATTGATAAAAAGGCCAATAGTAATTTTGCTAAGATTATAATAATTTTCGGAGCCAATATTATTTCTTTGTTTCTTCGACAAAAAGATAGCAGTATCAATGTGCACAATAAAGTTGTTATCATTTATCTGTACCATACTCTCTTAAAGTGAATCAGTGAATAGTCACTGATATCAATTATGAATATAGCACTGAGCACTTTCAGTGCTATACTTATAACTACAATCAGTGTATATCCACTGTTTTCAGTGATGTTTATTGATTCATTTTAAGAGAGTAGTAGCACTTATTATACCAAAATGGTTTTCGAAAATAATTATAATTATTTTTCCGAGGATTATAGTCGCTGATATAATACATTTTTCTTAGTTTTTTTCTTAATTTCAGTATAATTTCCAATTTACTCCTTGATAATTTCTCAATAAGATTATTAAGGATATTTTTGCCCATTACTGTCCGCAACCACGCCCCTGATTTCGGGTCTTCACGTCGCGCCATCCATCCCTCCATCCCTCCGTTCTCTACACCCCCTTCCGTCGGGTGCTTTTTATTCAGCCGGGACTACTCGAAGGGGAAACACCCGTAAATAAGGGAGGGACGCGATGTTGTGTACGACATTCGCGGAGATCCAACGTCGCGCCGACCGACGCGACGTCCACCGTCCAATTTGACGATATCCGCGCGACGCTGGCTGGCTGGCTTCTCGCCTGAATGTGAAAGAGAAAGAGAGAGACGTGCTCGAGAGGTTCGCGAAAGTTTTGTGAAGAGCTTATAACGCGCCGGCTGGGAAGCACTTGCTCGAGTTCTCAATACCGCTCGAGGGAAGTTGCATAGATGCCCGACATTGATTACGCGCACGTGTCATATCATGTTGGTGATGAGACAATGCCTTCTTTTATCTAAGAGCGCAAAACCGTGCGGCACGTTCGCTCGCGCGGCAGACCCGCTATTTTCGCCCGAAGGAGAGCTTATACGTGCCCGGTAAACAATTTAGCCACTCGAGGAGGCTGTGTCTCGATAAGTGCCTTCGTGACACAAGCGTGAATAACGAGGGCGTTTTATGCGCGGCATTCTCACGAACGAAGGTAGAGAGGCTCTTCTCGAGAAGCTAAAGAGGAAAAACGAGAGAGAGAGAGAGAGAGGAACGACTATTAATTTCGTTGTATCGATAATTTTTTCTTGCTCTCCGCATACCAGTTAAAAATCTGCCCTCTCGAAGCACTTCCGGGAATCGCCCCCTATTGTCGTTCGCTCTCGAGTGTTGCGGCCGATGGAAGAGAGGGCGCAACGAACGCTGGAGTGCTCTCCCGCGGTTCCTCGAGTTATCACAATATTTTTGCAAGATCGAGCCGCTCGACCGAGCGAGTCTTTCGTTGCGGGAGACCCTCGACGATCGCACACCCCCGAAAATAGAGCGCGTCAACCCTTCCGCGGCTTTTTAATATGCAGCCAAGATGCATGATGGAACGATATTCTCGGGTCGAGAGTTTCGCCGATGTAATGAAGGCACGAGGTAATGAATGTATAAAGTAGTTCGGAGGGATATGAGGGTGTGAGTGCGTGAAGTATTAAATTGGTGTAAAAGGTTTATCGTGCTGCTATATAGAATTGAGAATGAAATTGTTCAATTTTGAAGGATTAATAATTTTTTATCAACAAAATGAACAACATTTATACATTTAAATAGAATTCCCTGTTTCCCTTCTTTATCTTTAATACTCAATTTTCTCACAAGAATTTAATAAAAGGACGACAAATCCGCTGCATCTATCTAATAGTAAGAAAGGTCATAAAGTGATGGAATCAAATATAGTTGCCGTTGAAAATAACTATAAATCATAACGAGATCATCAATTCCTCATTCTATACACGATGTTCGATTCCGTCAATTGCCTCGGCTTGCTCACGCGATCGCTTATGAGAGGCATTAACATTTATAGCCCTCTTGTGTCTGAACGATCAAAGTCTGTTCTGCGATAAAATTCTCGTTCGTTCTTTCGGTGGACGATATTACACGATCGGGGATTAATCGCCTGTAGGCGAAACTAGAACCCGGCTGCTTTTAGGACAATGTGGAGCGGCAACTCCGGTACAGCAGTCGGAGGAAAATCTCTCCCTGTCATGTACATAAGCCAACGATTACGGGAGCGTCGGGGGGAATGGGGGCGGCCGATTAATTCACGTGCGCGTCCGATCTCCGTGGAAACACCGCGTAATTGTGGGAGTATTGCCCGCGGATTTGCCTGATATACGTGGGCTTTAATAACGGTGCATTATTGATCAGACCGACGAAACCCCGTTCAAATTCCGCCGCGCACCCTCATGCCATGGGGTGCGTCGGAGCGCGATAGGGTGTGGGACGCCGGTCAGAAGCGAGAGGCACGTATTAACGTGGCGTTGTGCGCCACTCGAAGAATACCGTGTAGCGGCGCCGCTTCGACGATTATTCGGGATTTTCCTCGGAAATAGCGACAACGTTTCTGGGATTTTCCTCGGAAATAGCGTCCTCGAAATAGCGACAACGCCGTAATCCTAAGCGCGACGTTTGAAGATTCGATAATGCATTCTGACTCACTAAGTTAAAAAAAAGGAGAGGAATAAGGACCTATTTTAAGAAGCAACACACACAGGTGTAATGGTATGATATAAACTAATTATTATATATATATATATATATATATATATATATATATATATATATATATATATATA